GGTTCAACTCATGTTATAGCAGCTATTTCAATATGAAACTGTGTATGTGAAAAGCCTTTGATAAAAGAATTGAATAATGTCACATAGTTAGTTTGCTTCTTGATTATGTTATGTTCTTTGTAGCAGGTGTTTGTTACAGATTTATGGACAGATCATACGCCATGGCCTTTTAATCAACTGCCAAAGAGTTATAACTTTCTTGTAAAACATGGTTCACTGTGGAGAATGGCATATTATGCTTCTGCTCCACGTGTAATTCACCAATCCAATTTTGCTGCAACATCAACTTTTATAGCTCGGTAAGGTTACATCTTAATTCTATATAAATTCATGTCACTAACATGTGGACGTAAGTGACTAGTTTTTCTATGATGGCTACTGTTAGAAATTATTTACTTGTGAAGTCTGCAAGAATATAAATTTAAAGTACTGAAAATCATCTGGCTTACTTAGGCTATTCGGTCTGTTATGCTTATAAACAACCACTAAATGGTAAAATCTCTATGGTCGAAAATGGTAATTTTACATAATTTAGCAGTCAAGGTCTGCACAATTTCTTGTTTATATCGTCCGTTTTCCGTTTAATTAAGAAAGGTCGTTACAGTTTCATATTGTTTATACTTGATTATACACGTTTATTCTACTGCATTTGTTGCAACTGAATAATCAAACCTGCTTTTGTACCCAAATTTTGGCACGTGGGATTGCATTTGGCAAGAGCTTGAACTGTGACAATCGTCCGCTTCGGTGTAGAGCTATGGCCAATATCCACATATTAAAATTTTTTTGCAGCCTCTATTATTAGTCTTTAGAAATGATCTCATGTATTTAGTCCTGAACTCAAAGTCATCACTCATGTAGTTGACACCATTACATAAACATATGCAACTTAATGACGGTGCTCTTCAGCTTTCCTCTTCCCTTCTCCTTGTTAATCGAGTTTAACATATTCTGCTAAAGCTATCTTATTAATCTGATTTACTAGTTCTCACCTTCTTTTACGCACTTTAAACCCTTAGAGAGGTTGCTAAAGGATTGATGAAATACCAGCCAGACATTATTATTAGTGTGCATCCTTTGATGCAACATGTTCCACTGCGTATCTTGAGGGCGAAGGGTCTCTTGGAGAAGATTGTTTTCACCACTGTTGTAACAGACTTGTGCACATGTCATCCTACATGGTATGCTCAGCTGCCATTTTTTTCCTCTTATAGTATTCCTAATGTTGGTTTGATTTATTATGTCATCTCATGAGTAGGTTTCACAAGCTTGTAACTAGATGCTATTGCCCATCAGAGGAGGTTGCCAAACGAGCATTAAGAGCTGGTCTTCAGCCTTCTCAAATCAAGGTTTATGGCCTTCCTGTCCGGCCTTCATTTGTGAAGCCTGTTCGCCCTAAGGTTCTTCTTTTCCCATTTTTCCCCTTTCCGCAAGGCATACGATTTGTATCTTTTTCAGTTTTTAACTGTTAATCATTGCAGCTA